TTTCAGAGCACAACTAGAAACATTGAGGTCTTTTATGCAACACTTAAGCTGTGACTCAGCAGCCCTGAACTCATCTCACTCTTTCACCACTTTGTCTGATATAAGTAGGACCAACCAACCAGCTTCCTCATACTCCTCATTCTGACAAAATTACAGAAAAGTATCAAATATGCGATCACCCAGAGCCTCACTTCTCAGAATACTTGATCTATTGTTGGTGCTGTTTTGCATATTAATGTTGCCACCTCATGCCACGGATTAGCAGGGCCCTCTTTACTAACAGAGGGAGGGTCACCAGTGCCATTATTACTAGTCAAATTGGAGAACAAATTTAGGAAGCCCATCCTTATGATTTTGTCTCTCTAGAACTACTCTTGGTACCAGATGTGTTAGGCTGGGTTCTCTAGAGAAGCAAAACCAGTAAAGCTTATATATACATACAGAGAAAGAGAAATTCATCTTAGGAAAATGGCTCACACACTTATGGAAGCTAGCAAGTCCCAAGTTCTTGAATGAAACGTCAACCTGGAGGCTTTTGCCGACTCACGCAGCTGTGGGGCCTGACAGGCTCAAGGTTGGCAGGTAGTCAATTGGCTGTTGACTCCAATGAATGATAAATCCAAGATATCCAGGCCAAATGGTGGATTGTTCACTCACAGACAGTTGTAGGCAGCAGAACAGGATCCTGATTCATAGAAGAATGTCTCTTTTCTCAGGATGTCCATAAATATATTGGAAGCAGACCACACACCTAGGGAAACTCCCTTTCAACGGATTGGCTGCTCAAAACATATACATCTGATCCCATCGTGGGAATAACACACATCACAATTGCTTAAGCCACACAGAGCTCCAATTATCACGCTCTCTAACTTCAAAAAGCCTTTAATGATGCCACTGTCCCTCTGACAGCTGTAACAGCAAATTCATCTGTAATTAGGTCAGTGCTCTAAATTGTTCTCTTTCCCAGCTAAAGGACAAAATGTATACAAATCTGACTGAAGGAAGGACATGAGGTATTATAAAGAACACTATTATGCTTAGGGTTAAAATGTCTTTCTTAAGAATATATATAACATTGTTTAGTTCTCATTCTGATCATCTACCAAAGATTTGTCTTTTTAATAGTTTTAAGTAGTTACTTAAAATTTTATTGATAATAATTTTGAATTGCTTATAATAGTTTGAAGAGTTTCAGTTATTTGGTTTATCAGGACCCAGAAAATAATTAAACTTGGTGTGGGAGGGAAGAAGAGGGAGTTCTTTGCTACCTTTTTCCTCAAAGGCACAGTAATATTTCGATGAAAATTAGGCTGTTTCAAAAATAAAAATATTGACATTATCTTAACATTAAAAGCAAAGATCACAAGACTTTTTTCAGTCTCTGTGAGACTTGTTTGTGATAATAAAATGGCTGCAGTAAAATCGTTATGGGTTAAGATACTAAGTATTCATGGAAATGGAAGCTTAACTATATCATAACTATTACACAATTTTCTGTATAGATAGTGGTATCTTTAAAAGGTAAAGATTAAACTCCCCATTTATTTTATACGGTGGCATTTAGACATGAATATTTAATATAATTCATTGACAGTGAGTCACTTGAGTCATATATTAGTGTCTGTGTGATTGACTCTCATAACTGACTATTTTTAAGGCTATATTTTCTTTTGAAATTTAGAGTGGAGAGTTAGTCCAGAAACTCTGTTGTCATAATGTAATGCTCATACTGATGGTAGTAGTATTTGGAATTTAGAAAATTCAGTGGTGGATTTTATATATGACAAAGGAATTTTTTAACAAACCCAGTTAGGATGTAGGTATTTAAGTAGATTTGAGGGCAATAGCCTGTGATGCTGGCTTAAAACAGATTTTTAATCTTGCCTCAAATTGTATGACATCCCATTTATATTAAATTGTTCAATTATTGCCAATTCCATTAGAACACATTTCTCATGTTGATTACTTCTCAGGTTCCTTTCAGTTCTGAAATTATATAAAAATTGTTGATAACTGAATTTTCAACCAGCAAGAATATATATTCATTCCTGATACCTTTATTTCCTATATTTGTTAAATCAGCCTTTATTAAATTATTGATTGACTAAGGGACTATGTATGGCCTTGACACTTGCCCTATAATATAAAAAATTAAATTTACTAACCCTCTTGTAGGAGCTCTGGTAGCGTAGTGCCTAAGGCACTTGACTGCTAACCAGAAGACTGGAGGTTCAAACCCACCAACCACTCTTTAGAAAGAAGGTTGGGCAATCTACTTCCGTAGTGATACCGCCTGGACACCCAGGGAGGGCTTGCTATGAGTCAGGTCTGACTCCACAGCACATAACAACAACAATAGCCCTCTTGTACCCTTATCAAATAATCTTTTACCTTGTCCTTGTTTTATCTTACTTCCTACCCTATTCTCCATTTTGTTGTTTCCGTTCTTGATCAAGTTGTGGATGACTAGATTGGAACGTGGATTTAGGCTTGTAATAATTCAATTTCTAAGTTTTTTAATTGATTGTCCTACAAAATGTTAGAAAGAATGGAATTTAAAAGGCAATATGGGCCTGGTTTTTATATAACCTTGCCTATCAGAAGCCCTACTGCATCACATCACTTACATGCTCAACTTTTCCTACTCCCATCCTGTTCAGTTCTTATTTAGGAATAAATTTTGGTCAGTACTCTGATGTGTTTGACTTCTTTTGTTTTGGTTTTTTTCACCTGTGAAACCAACTTTTAGAAACTTGGTGAGTCTTTTTATTTTTTATTTAAGACTTTCAGTTTGAGTCTAAATGATTTAGGGTAACTTTGAAAAAAAAAAAAAAACTTCCTATTGTTTCCCCAGTTTGGAAAAAAATAAATGTATTCCTCCCCAACATGATTTAAGGGGAATTTTTCCAGTGGTAAGGAGCTCTGGTGGTATAGTGGTTAAAGCATTTGTCTGCCAACCAGAGGTCAGCAGTTCAAACCCACCAGCTGCGCAATGGAAGGAAGATGGGGCGATCTGCTTACGTAAAGATTACAGCCTCAGAAACCCAATGGGGGTCATGCTATGAGTCAGAACCGACTTCATGGCAATGAATTTCAGGTGGTAATCTGAATCTCTTTTCTGTCTGTATATTTAGAATACATTTTGTGACCATAGAATGTAAAAGCCAGTACTGCTTAGAGATTTATAGTAAAGAATTTGGCAAATTACTTAACTCCGGGGCCTAACTTTCATCATGTATAAAGTGGGGTTTATGACATTTAACTCGGGGTTGTTGTGAGGATTAAATGGTGAATGTATGTAAGTGTTTTAAAACTGTGCCTTGAATACAGTGCTTGCTATGTATGTTAGCTAATTATGTCTTTTAAATTACATTACCTTATGAATTCAAAGTTTTATCACAGATTGTTTATTTCCTTTTTTAAAAGTCTTTAGATAAAATATTAACATTAAAAGTCAAGAGATATATGGGATACTTTGAAAAACCAGAGGCCAGAATCACATTATTTAAATGCTTTTGTGCTTTTTAATTTTCTTTTGTTTTTTTTTCCTGGTTAAAAGAATAACAGCTGGCACATGAATAAAAAACAACAAATAGAAATAAAGATATATGGTATAGTAGTCACTAGTGTTTAAAATATTTGTTATTAACATTGTTGTATTAACACTATAATAGCAGACCTGTGAGATATAGGTGATATTCTCCTCATTTTCAAATGAGGACATGAAGGCTGAAAAGAAGTTAGGCAGGTTGTCCACAATCTTGTGTTAAGTGGCAGAGCTAAGGATTCACACTCAGGTTATTCTGATTCCAGAATCTGTGTATGTGTGTGTGTTTTTCCTACCGTGCACACACTACCTCCAAAAGATTCTATAAGATTGTTTGCTTGAAAAAATTCATATAAAATTGTGGAATCTAATACTTAGATGATATTTTGCCTTTATGATATTACTCAAATGCTCCATTATTAAAATATGTTGAGGATTTCTTAAAGAAGTTTTACATGTCACATTTCAATTTTGAGTATATACACAAAAAATATACTGTGTGTTGTTGAAGAATTAGGAGTTATGAAACAGATTCTTCCCTTTGTGTGGTCATGTATATTGGTTTTGATTAACCAAAAGATTTTAGGGAAGAAAGCAAAATAAATCATCTAATTTGGGGATTGTTTTTCTTCATATTTGGAACTCCTTTAGAATTTTAGAATTTCTTCCTAACATACACACATGCATAGCCAGTCTATCTGATTATTTTAAGTAATGTAAAAATATAAATAAGGATATTTATTATAAATAATTATAAACAAATTAATATATTATAGTTTTTAATAATTATGATGGCTGAAGTTATTTCTGACATTCCCTCTTTCTTAACCAAAGAGGGATTCAAGACTTAGAACAAAAGCATTTTATAGCAATGTGAAATTTTGAATCTGAAACTTGAGAAGTACATCCTGGCTACCACTTTCAATTATGTGACTTTAATTGAATCATTTAAAATCCTTGTGCTTCAGTGTTCCCACTTATGAAATAGGAATAATGTTAAGAGCCTTTTACAAACTGTAGGCATTGAGGTTTTTTGTATGTTTGTACTATATATACACATGCTGAAAGATAATGGTTCCCTAATTTTGAATACCAGTTTTACTTCCTGAAGTCCCTGGGTGGGGGATATAGTTAATGCACTGAGCTGTTAACTAGAAACTTGGATATTTGAGTCCACCCAGAGGCACTTGGAAGAAAGGCCTGGTGATCTACTTCTGAAAAATCAGCTGTTGAAAACCCTGTGGAGCACAGTTCTACTCTGACACAGTATGGGGTTGCCATCAACTCGAAAGCAACTGGTATATGTATTTTCATTCCATAGGCTTCACTTAATGCTTGAGTAATATTTATATAAAATAAAGATACAAGAGGATATTCTAAATAAAAGTAAGAATTGCATGTTATAGATACAATAGGGTTACCTTAAATTTCTTTTGTTCAATTATTTCAGAGCAAAGATGGGAAAACCCCACTGCACATGACTGCACTCCATGGTAGATTCTCCAGATCACAAACCATTATCCAGAGTGGTAAAAAGTATTTCTGTTTGTTTTTTTTTTTTTCCCGTTAATTGTAATAAAAACATGTACAAAATGAATGATATTGAGGAATTGTCATAGCAGCCTATATATTTTTAATATTTTATTTCATATCACATGAAAATCAAGTAAAATAAAGAAAATAGAATGCTACATATGTATAATGCTATGTATATATGTCTTTCATACTTTTATTTTTTCTCTTACTTTTGCTTTGTTTCCCCTGAAGTACATTATTATTTTCTCAAACAGTTAGTGATAATTTTCTCTTCAAACATTTCTAAGCATAAAACTGCCTTCCTGCTATAGTTTCCTTTATGGTTGCAATATTAACAGAAGTCTGTTGCATTTACCATTTTTCTTCTGTTGAGTGTTTTGAATTATGTCAGGATTTAATTTAATTTCTGAATGTACATTCTTTTGCATTTGAATTAATACTAGGCTAGCTAAACTTTTCAATAAAAGAACTTTTAGATACAGTACTTTATCATTGTTTCCTGTGCATGTTATAAGGAGTTGATTATAGTCCTCAAACTAACAGGTGTTACGGTTTTACAGGGGGAAAGTAGGAGTAGGATCAAATAATTTTTGAAGCACTGGGTGTAGTCTTCTTGATGATTCACAGGGACCACTCATTAAAAGTCTGAAAAGTCTTCCTCTAAGGAAATTCTGTTAATTCTTTTTTAATACACTGATTTCAGAACTTAGTGGACTCCAGAACCCTTTTGTCAGTTGAAATCTTATGCTCAGTTCACTAAACTACCTTAAATATACAATCTGTAACCCTCCTGCCTGGCCGAGTAAATATACTATGACTAAAATCCAATTGAAATTGCTATATCCATTAATTTGTACTTGAGCAGCATTTTATATTACTTTCCATATAATAGGTTTCCCTTGGCCTTTTTTTTGTACTCTAGTGTCTAACAATGCATTCTTTATTGCAGGAGCTGTAATTGACTGTGAGGATAAGAATGGCAACACCCCTTTGCACATAGCAGCTCGGTATGGCCATGAGCTGTTAATCAACACTCTTATTACAAGTGGTGCTGACACTGCAAAGTAAGTGGACTTACCAAGGTGTTGATAGTTCTACAGGAAAACAGGGAAAGTGAATTGCGGTTTTCATAACTCCAGGTGGAATTATGGGTTTTGTTCCAATATTGTACTAATTGCTTGAGCTTTTTCTTTGTCTTTTTGTGTGGACAAAGTGATAGGATAGAATGTTCAAGTACAATTTTATTTGGTAGGCCAGCATAAAGTGTTTTGTTTTTTAACCCCAGTTCTCTCTAGATGATGAATAATAATGCAGTTTTGAACAGTGCTTGTAGTTTTTGTGGTCTCTTTATTATTACCTATTTATTTATTTTTCTATTTATTTTGTTGTTGAGAATATACACAGCAAAACATACACTAATTTGCTAGTTTTCTACATGCACAGTTCAGTGACATTGATTACATTCTGTTGTTTTCTTTTTCCCCCAATTGTGATTTGGGTGAAAATATACACAGCAAATTCACTTTGCATACAGCAGCTCATGTACACTTTGTCTCATAATATTGACTACAATTTACCCCAATGCAACAGCTCCCCTCCCACTTCCTCCTGATAGTTACCTCTTCCCTTTGTCCATCCCTCTATGTACTCCTGCCCCCTGAACTGTCTCTCTGTGCATAAACAGCCCTTCTTTCTCCCATGATTGTTTTCTCCAAGGAGTGTATCTACCTCAGGTAAATGTTAACTCATATGCCTGTCTTTTGTCTGGCTGGAAGCCACAGGTGTGAGTTCAATTCCAGACCTGAAGGGCAGCTAAGGGCCATAGTCTCAGTGGTTCCGCCGGGCTCTATCAGACCAGCAAACCTGGAACCCCCGCCCTTTTTTGTCCACAAATGATTATAAGTCTTGTTCCACATTGTTCTCCCTCTCTATCCAGGATCTCCTACATAGATTTCCTCTGAGTGGTTGACAGTAGCCGGGCACCATCTAGTTCTTCTGGTCTCATAGTCGTATAGGCTGCAGATTGCATGGTGTACCAGTTGATAGGACTAATTATTTCTATGAATCTTTGGTTTTCTTCATTCTTTGTTCTGGATGAGGAGAGACCCAGCGTTGCATCTAGATGGCTGCTTTCGAGCTTTTAAGATCCCAGTCATTACTCGCCAAAGTAGGAGGTGGAACAGTGCTTTATGTAGTATGTTATGCCAGTCGAGCTTGATGTCCCCTGTGACTATGGCCCCGAGCCCACATGTTCAACTACTAGGTCCCTCTGGGTAGCTGGCAGTGACCAAGAAGTAACTACAGCCTTGTCAGCTCTACTGTATACCTGGGAATTCAGATTGTGATAGTTGAAGATGTGTCAACTTGGCTGGACTCCAGTTGTGAGTGGTGGTTCCCATGATGGATCACATGACTGAGTTCTAAGCGGCCGGTCTGCC